TGTTCTATGCTGTTGCGATGCCACTCGCTTGGATCCACAATCTTCCGAGAGAGGAGGCCGAGAAGTTTGCGTCGGAGTTGGGCGTGTCCGTTCAAGGCACCTTGGACGAATTGCAGAAGCGGCTGAAGGAAAAGTGAAGAGCGCTGGAAGTCTGCCTACCTCCTCAGATCACAGATAAGTTGCCGCGAGTACGGACGTTGCGGGAACGAGTATGAGAAAGATTCGAGCGGGCGACATCCATGCCCAAGTTAGTTACGCCCAGAGTAGATTACGGGGTAATGTAGTTTCTGAGTCGGCATTAGTTGCCATGTTGTTCAGAATATTTACCCTAGTGTGTGTCCTTGGTGGACGTTAAGTCTGGGCCGAGAAGAGTAGTTAGTGTGTGTCCTTGGTGGACGTTTAAGGGCGTGTCCTTGGTGGACGATGAGTCTGGGCCGAGAAGAGTAGTTAGTGTGTGTGTCCTTGGTGGACGTTTTGAGTCTGGGCCGAGAAGAGTAGTTAGTGTGTGTCCTTGGTGGACGTTTTGAGTCTGGGCCAAGAAGTGTAGTTAGGGCATGTCCTTGGTGGACGTTTGAGTCTGGGCTGAGAAGATTTTTTTAGGAACTAGCCTTGGGGAATTTTGAAGGCTAGAGATAGGGTCGCGAATCGCTATATGAATCGAGGAGAGAGGTAGAGGTTACGGTTGGAGTCAAGTGTTTGTGAAGTTCCACCCTCGAGGTTCCAGTGCTCGATACCGTTCCGTGAAGCTGGAGATTAAGGGGTCTGAACCCTTTGTAATAGTTAAGTCCGACTGAGTTATGGTTCGACTGGCGAATTCTGATATGGGTGTACTGCTAAAAAGGGTTTGTGTCTCAACTGAAGAGCTACAGGCTTGGCGAGTAGGCCATCAAATCTAAGCTGGGTATTATTGCAACCACATATTTGTGTAAATATGTTTGTGAACTTCCCCCGGAGACGATGCTGTGTCTGCCGTTTTTTTTGTTTGTGTTTCAGAGTTTGTTATCCCTTTCTATCCTATCCCTTCGGCTCGCGAGTGTGACAGACGTCGAGTGGGCCCCGCCAGTGACGAACTTGTGTCGTCAGTGAGAGTGTGTGGGTGTTATGTCTCCGACGAGGAGTTGGACCTTTGGACTCCTGCGGGCCGGGAATTCGCCGCTAGAAGTTGGGCCTCTCTCCCTGACTTGTCGGCGTGCGAATGGCCAAGTGTTATGTGGCGGTGGTGCCGGAGAAATGGACTGGGTGGCTCCACCAGCTCTCCGGAAGGGGGCACCTCCGCACATGTGTGGCCGCCAGCTGTGTGGTAGGAACCGAGCAAGGACTGTGTGCTAAGAATGAACCTTGCTGGCTGGCAGGCAGAGCCCCAGGAGTGATAGGCGGCGGAAAAGTCGTGAGAATTGGCTGGCGGGTGGGCCCCATGCAGTGTGGTGTGAGTGTGTTTTTTTTTTGGCGTCTGGGGAGAGGGTGACATCCTGAACCGTGCAACGGTTCTTCTCTGTGAAGTTCCTTGGAGTCCCCCCCCGGAACACCAGGATGCGAGCCGGTCCTCNTAAAGTCTTAGCTGACGTCAGGTCAGCTGACCTTGTCCCCCCCCTCCTGGACGCAATGCGAGGTTTCCTGCTTACTCAGAAAGAATGCATCGTTCTCTCTCCCCCGTGGCTTCAGCAAGGTAACATCGCTGCTTCCAAATTCAGTTTCGTTTATGTTGAATTGAGCTTGTGAAATTCTGTTTCGGCCTGTGCAGTGTCTGTAGGGGGAAGAGGGCCCTCACGACGTGATCAAGGTTGCGTCAAGTCGTGAGGTTAATCTTGTGTTTGTAATTTTGGAAACGCCAGTAAGTGACTTACTGTTGTAGATAGTTTCCTTTTCATTACGACGCCATGTGGCGTAAGTTAATTAATTTGCCTGGAGTTGAGTTGGCTTAAATAGCCGATCGCCCCTCAGGCGTGCAAGTAACCTGTGTATATTTTCTTGTGCCCTTAAGGTTTGCCGAAGTACAGACTTGTGTGTCCTTAAGGCTTGCCGAAGTACAGGTTTTTTCCTAGAGAAGTTGAAAGATGCCATGAGGCGTGCCAATACTTGAGTCTGTGCGGCTAGGCACAGAGTAGTTCTGCATCAACTGTCTATTATGTTTTGACCAGTCCCTGCCCATCAGGCAGAGTACACCTGTATGCTTATGTTATCAATATATACATTTATTTACATGTTTGGAAATGCCAGTTGTATTTGTGTATACTTGGGTTGTGTATTCCCTACCAGTTCGGACTAGCAGATCCGTCCAGCTTGGCCCATAGTGCCGACAGCGGTTTTCCTCTCCTGAGATCCCCTACTCGACCTTGGGGAGGCATAGTACATCACGTACAAGCAAGTCGTTCTTATGAGCCTGTCCCTTACCCATATTGAACAGGAGTTCACGGGTCTAAGTGGGTAGGAGAACTGGGTTCTTGACCCACAGGGTCAAGGGACACGGCTCACAATATATTATTTAAAGGAAATAAAAAAGAAAATACCTCAATAATGTGTAATGTTACTCACTTATTTGTATAACTATCTTCCAGCAGCACATTTATATGTTCTTTTAGTTTGCTTTTGAAAGCAGCAACTGCTTGGAGAGGTTGTGCAGTACTTGTTGTGACCAGCAGTACAGATCCTGTGACAACCAAATGACAAAACTTTTTCCCCAAGTCTGTGAAGCGACCCTGGTCCATCATAAGAGTCTGGAAATAATGATTCCACATCAGCATAAAATACATATTAACCTACATCTTTTATTGAGATAAGTAAAGCATTTAGCACAGAGGCACAAATGGGAAATGCATATATAAGTTTGGTCAGGAAACCTCAAAGTAGTCACATAGAAAACCTAGGTATAGATAGAAGAAAAATATTAAAATGCGGGTCACTATCTTCTGGGATGCGATACCATGAAGTCTGGTAGATCATTACCAAATTTTTTGTTGATCTGTTGTCTCTTGCCTCCACCTCACCATATTAAGAATGTTTCTTAAAGAAACTGGGTGAGATTGTGGTGTGGATTCATCTGGTTCAGAATACGGCCCAGTGGAAGGCTCTTGTGAACATGGTAATGACTCTTTAGAGTCCATAAATGGTGGATAATTTCTTGAATAGCTATGCAACTATCAACTTCTGAGGGCTCTACTTCACTGGATTAATTAGTTTTATGTCTTCTTGAACAATATTATTACAATTAGTAGGAACTAACATATATTCTGAAATTTATAAACCACATTTCCTCATTTCTAAGAAATCCTTTTGTACATTTTAAAATTTCTTAACTTGGGGCACATCTTAAATTTGATGGCATCTTTGTTGTCTCAGTTCTGTGTCTGATGTACGAGTACTTAGTACTACACTTGAGTGTATTTTAATTGTAATAAAAATTTCAAACTCCAAATACCAAACCTAACAGTCATTTTACAATATATCTGAAATGGTTCCATTATGACACTGCATTAAAACATAATCAAGGGTGTATCTCACAACCAATGGCATCTTAGAATCAAAGAAATATGGTATTTTATTATACCTCAGGATATAGGTTCAAATCATTCCATTCTAGTAGTTCGAGATATGCTTCTCCTAATACGGATGCTGTGAGGTTACGGACTGCATTCTTATCTTCTCCACTGCATATTACATCATCATTTCTAGCGTTCATTAGATGATGCAGCAACCATTTGCGTGTGTACTGCAAGCCATCTACAAACACACACAGTATATAATTATTAAAAAAAATTCTAAAATTATCCCTGTGCTCAATTAATTAAGCACTATGCCATGAAGACATATGGGGAAGTGGAGGCATAGCCCCATGATTCCTGACCATGGCACCAGATGGAAGTGAGTGGTCAGCTTCATGCCCCGGCCGCTTTACCCTTGGTACCAATTGGATGGGAGGGTGGGTGGGCTCCAGAGTCAGTATGGATACTATAGAGAAGACAAAAATCTTACTCCTGACAGGAATTGAACCCCAGCCATCCAGCCCATAACCTGTCATTATACCAGCTGCACTATCCTGATTACAATTATGGAAGGCTAATCATATTTTAAGATGTGAGATCTGAGGTTCTCATAGCAGTGACTATGAAGATATCTGTCTTCTGGATGTGACATCATGTAGTCTGAGCTTCTGAAAGCTTTTCTTCTTTACTGACACTACAACCTTGTGTGGGTCTTCACCTCTTAGATGGTTTTCTAACAGTAAATTTTTCCAGGGTGGTGTCATTAGACCCATGCCCAACCCCAAACCTGGGGAATGGGGACTATATTTCATCTGATCCCTACTCTTTTACCTATCTGGTCCCACCAGGTACTTATGCTCCCAATAACATATCTCTCTGGGCCATTAGGGTATGCAAACCTCTCCATGATAAAATGGTGGCCCTTCAGCACTGCTCAATAACTATAAAAACAAAGATTTAAACATCATGCAATCTGGTGGGTCATTACTCTCTACCAGATCATGTGGTGCCATGAGATGAAAGACCATAATTTGAAACATACATGAGATGATGTCATTCCTGATTTAAAACCTTCATGGTGTACTTGTAACTTTCATCATATAAGGGCTAGATTTAAAGTTGTAATAATGTTCAGAGGATAAAAAGAACTCTATACATTTCTGGCATTAGTCTGACTTAAGTCCTTCTTACTAAGCATTAAAAAATTAGTATTAACTTTTATGCCAGAAACAACTGAAAAGTATACCAACCTGCCTGAATTTTAAGAAATTCTGCAAATTTCATCTTCTCATATTCCACACTTTTGGCTATGATGTCTGGTCGAATCACATCGATAGCGAAATTTGCCATGTCCATCTTCATAAGATTTAGTGTCTAAGAGAAATGGGTGTTTCAATACAAACAATCATAAAAAAAATAATAATACTGAAACAGATGAATGTAGTATTATACTTTAGATAATTATATAATATCAGATTATATTTCAAAAACACTTTAATATTAATAAATGAACTATGCAAAAAATTTAAATTTTACCATTAATAATATTTGGTATTTTTATATTATTTTCCACAGGTATTGATAAACCAAGACCCTTGTAATATAAAGATATACATATAAACAGGCAAATTATGTATTAATCGTGTGAGATTTGTGGTTCTCATGGCAGTGACTATAAGGTGTATATTCTTCTGGGATGTGACACCATGTTGTCTGTATGAAATTTACCAGTCTTTTGGAGGAATGCCTGAATAAGTCAAGTAAGTCATGCAAGCAAAAGAGCACCATGACTGCTTGTTTGATTGACTTACTTTTCAACTCAGAAGATGGAGGCAGTACATTCCTCTGAAACATCGGTAAACTCCTAGCACACTGCATGGCGTCACATTCCAGAAGACAGTAAATATGTGCACTGAAATTTTATTTTTGGAGCAACTTTACAAAAAATTATAAATTTTCTTTGAAATTTTTGCCAGTCGCATGAGAATTGTGGATGCTTAAATAAGGGATGACCAGGAGTTTACTGTATGAACAAATCTTCTGGGATGTGCCTTACTTCCAGAATTCCTCTAAACACTGGCACAACTCCTTCAATCTGGGTGAGTTTTCTGACTTCATCATCTCTAACCGGAGCACACATCTTCCCCATTATAGATATCACATACTGAGCATAATGCTGAAATCAAATAAAATGCACATGTAGTTTGTAAAGGGAACATTCTTAATATACAAGGGAAAACAAGTCTGTTACCAAGACTGTTTTGCAGCCCCAGTACACAAAATAGAATATCAATACTGTTGCATTTACAGTCCCCACAGTGGTCACCATGTAAAGTACCATCTTCAGAGAGGTATGTAATCCAGCAGAAGTCCACTGAGGTTTCAGAGGAATGTAATGCCTCCACCATCAGGGTGACAGAATAAACCAAGCAAACAACCAACAAGAAGGATGCAGTGCCTACTCTGTTTGCTTCCTTGTCTTACTCAATGACTCTGAAAATGGAGGCAGTGCATTTCTCCTAAATGTTGGAGAACCTCCACTGGCTTACATGGCGAATTCTTCAACAAAATCAGACTCACATAAAATAAACACCATTTTTTCTGTTTACTTGCAGCATGACAGCAATAAAAGGCAGTGTTTCGGTTGGTGAATTAGTAGTGACCCTTGCTGATAAGAGGTATCTCTAGACTATTTTTATTAGGCTTATTCTAGGAAGCTGTCTTCCCAGAACTTTACATTTTCACAGTGCACATAAGTATATTCGGAGCTGGAATAGCATAGCTGGTATAGCAACTGGTGATGGGCTGGATGACCAAGTCCTTGGGGGGGGGTAAAGAATTTTCTCTTCTCCATGTCATCCAGACTGGCTCTGGGGTTCACCCAACCTCATACCCAGTGAGTACTGGGGGCTCTTTCCCCAGCGGTAAAGCATCCGGGGTGTGACGCTGACCACTCACCTCCAGCTAGTGCCAAGGTCAAGAAAATGTGGATCTATACATCCACTCCTCCTTATGCAATCATGGCATGGGGCTTAATTTGTTAACGACAGGGTCAACTTTATCTTTTATAAGTAATTCAGCGAAATCATGATTCTGAAGTGTCCCCCACTGGTAATGTGTGTGGATCAATGGAAGGGTTATCTGCTGAAACCAAAGGTTGAGATGAGAACTGTCAAAATTTTCCATTACAGTTTCAAAGGGCATTTCACTGATCCCTGATATTTCTTTCGTGACTGGGAAGGTCATTCCATTAATATGTTCTGAGTTCAAGAGGATTTCATGGGGAAAAAATGTCTGGGTATTGAATAAATGAACATCATTAGTTACCTGGAAATCAAGAGTCCCTCTTTCAGCTTGTTGTCTGATGAGATCTGCATCCAGTACCTCTAATATCTCTTCTTTTAATTTTGCATTCTGTGGCAAAAGCAATGATAAGAGGTCCTGCAAACAAACAAATGTATAAGCCATGTGGTTCATGTTCATTTTTGTTAACTCTTCATACATTACTGTTATACTCTGTACAAGTACTAGGCCATAAAAGTATCCAAAGAGTATGATGCTCAACCAGTTCAATTAATTTAATTTTAAGAGATTTTTCTCTTCTCTGCAACATCCAGACTGGCTCTTGAGGTTCACCTGGCTTCTCATCCATTGGGTATGGGAGGCTCTTCCCCTGAGGGGTAAAGTTGGCTGGACAGTGAAACTAACCTCTCACCTATATCTTGTATCAAGATTTAAAAATGTGGCATTATACTTCCACTCCACCATACGACTTCATCTTTCCCTCTACCTCTACAACTCCACAATATTGTTGAGTTCAGAATCTTAGAAAGTAAATTTAACTTCATATATTAATTATATTTCATGTGTTACACTTACGTATTTCAATTCCAAAGAAAAGGATCACTGCTAGAGGACCCAAAGTACAGAACAATATAGCATTACATATTTCTAACGTACGTGGTGTGTTCAAAAAGTATCAAACCTTCTTTTTTCCCGCGTAAACCAATGAAGCGCGGGAGGCTCCCTTCGGTTGATATGTGGAGGGGACATTCATGCGCAGTTGTGAATTTTTTTCCGCCCGCAGAAAGCGTCAGTCACTGGCAGTCGGCCTATGAGTGAGGACATGTAGTGAGTGCTCGTCGGATTCCAGTAAGGTGTAAAATGACGGAACAACATGAGCAGCGATATTGCATCAAATTTTGCCAAAAGCTTGGCGATACCCAAGTGGAAACCATTTGCAAGATTCAACAGGCTTTCGGGGACAATGCCATGAGCAACTCATGGATAAAGGAGTGGTACAACCGCTTCAAAGATGGCCGCACATCAGTGGACAGCGAACCGAGTTCAGGCAGACCCTCAACAAGCCGAAATGAGAATGTCATTGAGCAAGTGCGGACTTTGGTCATGGAGGACCGTCGTATCACAGTCCGAGAACTTGGGAACAAGATAGGGGTAAGCATTGGATCGGTACATTCAATTTTGACCGAGGATTTGGGCATGAGGAGTGTGTGCGCGAAATTCGTACCGAAACTGCTAACAATGGAGCAGAAGCAACGCCGTCTGGAAATTGCACAGGACTTGCTGGACAATGCAAACAGTAACCCCAACTTTCTGCACACTATGATCACAGGCAATGAGTCATGGGTTTATGGGTACGACCTGGAAACCAAGATGCAGTTGTCACAGTGGAAACATCCGACATCCCCGAGGCCAAAAAAAGCACGGCAGGTCCGCAGCAATGTCAAGGTCATGTTGGCCGTTTTCTTCGACTCCCATGGGGTTGTGCATCATGAGTACGCACCACAAGGCCAAACCATCACAAAGGAATACTACCAGGAGGTCCTTCATCGCCTTCGTGATGCTGTGTGGCGCAAACGACCGGATCTGTGGGCAGCAAAAACTTGGCAGCTCCATCATGATAACGCACCCGCCCATTCTGCGCATCTGATTCAGACTTTCGTCGCCAAACACAACATCCCTGTGGTTCATCAGGCTCCCTACTCACCCGACATGGCTCCATGTGACTTTTGGCTATTTCCCAAGCTGAAAATGCCGCTGAAAGGAACCCAATTTGAGTCAAGAGAAGACATCATGCGGAATTCGACGGCCCGGCTGATCACCATTCCAAAAGACGCGTTCCAGAAGTGTTTCCAACAATGGCGGAAGCGCTGGGAGAAGCGTGCGCATTGCTAAGGAGACTACTCTGAAGGGGATTAGGGTTTTGTACCTCCAAATCAATAAATGTATTTCTGCCGACCAAAGGTTTGATACCTTTTGAACACACCACGTATGCTGGAAATACACACTCAAGAAAAAACTGAAAGTCGACATACTTCCAGAACTATCTACCTAACTCTGCAACCAGCCAAGTACTAGGCCACAAATGAAGCCCCCAGCATGAAGAGTGAGGCTGTGATAAGTTGATGATGCCTGTCAGGGCTATCACAGAACTCTGTGTGTATAAAGCAATGGTGAAGTGATGACAAGCTCGGGAAAATGAAGTAACTCAGAGACAAACCTGCTCCACTGTCACATCATCTGTAATGGATCTCACATTAAATCACTTGGGAAAGAGAAGCTAGCCTCTAACTTCCTAAGCAGTTACCAATGGCTAAATTTTTAAGGAATTATCAGAGGTGAGCTGGGACAGCAGTTGGTATAGTGACTGGCTGCATGCTGGATGACCAAGGGGTAGAAGTTTTAGTGCCGGTAGGGGTGATTTTTCTCTTCTTCACATCGTTCAGACAAGTTTTGGGGCCCACCCAGCCTCCTATCTAAAGTGTAAGAGGGTACTCTTTCACTGGGTAAAGCGGCTGGGGCATGAAGCTGACAACTTACCTCCAACTAATGCTAAGGTTAAACATATGCAGATCTATACTTTCACTCACCCAGACACCTGCATGTCATAAAGTTGCATTACTTAAGAACAGGGACAACTTTAAAGGACTCCAAGACTCATGAGACAGTAAAATATGGTCATGAATCCCATGGGACTCGGAACCAAGAATAACTGTGCTGGTGTGGGGTAGCCGCAATTTACCTGACCCCACCCAAAATGAATATTAAAACCATATCAACCATTATAAAGAAACTGAGTCCTGAAAGGTAACACAGTGAACAAAAAACCATGGTTCATTAAAATCTCAGGCAACAGCTGCTTCAAAGTTGACTTAATAATGAAGGTTTCCAAGATCTTCTGTGTCTCAATCATCAAGGTTGATACGGACCTGCATCAACCCTGATGATGAGCACAGAGCAGGTCTCTGAAACATCAGCTTTGATACGGACCTGCATCAACCCCGATGATGAGCACAGAGCAGGTCTCTGAAACATCAGCTTTTAACTCAGCATTACCGAAGTAGATGTCAGCGCAATTATTCATCATTTTTAATTTCTATATTACTGGCCAAAGTGATGAAAGATGTGACTTTTGGACCCTGGCAACATATTATATACTGACAAAATAAATAAATTAATTAAAAAAAGGTAAAGCTATCCCTGTAACAAGCTGTGAAGGCCCATAGGGTTGTGAGACGTCGATGCTCCCATATTTTCTCTAGACAATTGGCTCACGAATGGCGGTAAGGTTGTCAGCATTATGTGCTGGCCGCCCTTTACTACCCAGGAAGAGTTCTGGTTCTCATTTTTGTCAGAGGCTGAGTCGACCCCAGGGACATAGTGCGACTGGAAAGATCNNNNAAATTGGGGGGGGGGGGAATCCACCTCATGGGGGCTTGAACCCACAACCTTCCTACTTGTAGCATAGTGCCTCAGTCAACTGTGCCCCGTGAAAGGAAACACAATTCTATCAGATCTGAGATTCTCACTAGAATGATTATGAATGGGATGTGATACCATGGAAGAACATGGAATAAAGAACTTCTTAGGAGGATTTATACTTACATGGCAGCATATCTCAGAAGATACTACTGTCAAAACTAAAATAAGCAGTGCACTTCTGAATATGAAATTTGGATGAACATGCTGCAAGTATACAATACCTCTTTTATCTCTCCCAGCAACACCATTGCCTGTTCATAATCTGGTGGCACTTCATTCAGTTTTTCTTCTAGTGTATCCCAAAAAGCTTTATGTGCTACATCCTTAACCAGTCTGTGAAGGCTGTTGAGCAAAATTACATTAACACACTTACTTGAGAGATCTTCTAAGTTCATTTAGTTTACAGTTACAAAATTTATCCAGCAATTGGCCGTGCCATAGTTCAAGCGGTTAGTCGCTGGCTTCCCACCGCTGCGGCCCAGGTTCGATCCCGGGTCTGGTCAAGTGGGATTTGTGGTGGACAAAGTGGCGCTGGGGCAGGTTTTCTCTGAGTACTTCGGTTTCCCTTGCCAATCTTTGTTCCACCAATTGCTCCACAATCACCCTCACCTATCATCCGGGGCTGGTACAATAGGCCAGAAGTGGTTGCAGTACAAGGGACTTAGTCCCACCACCACTAGCAATAAAAAAAATATCCAGCAATTATTGTTTACAGAACAATAACACTGTGCAATACTCTGCACAACATTCCCATCACACATCAGCATACTTGCACCAAGTACAATGACACGTTGTCACAACATTTTGAGGGGATATGAAATTCTAAACATACGAGGGAAAACAGACATGAGGCAAGAAATCTTATAAAACTCCACTTCATTATTTAAACATATTTACTGCAAAAATTACTGAATATTGCTACTCTACAGAAATCATCTCTTTATTTAATGACACAGTCAGTATGGAAGAATGATTAGTGAATAATGAATTGGAAAGGATGTAGTAGGAAGTAATCATTGCCAAATTTTATGTACTATCCCAACATTTGTCTGGTGGGAGTAAAGAAATCTAGTCCAAATACATGTATGTTCCAGCCTAGATTCAAACTTCTGACTCCTTTCTTCTTCACAGTTTCCAGAACGGCTCAAAAACCCATCCAGACTCCTAATGGGTACCAGGTGTAAACCACTTCCTTCCAACTAGGGGTGAAATTATTTTTTTTCTTTTATTGCCAGTCGGGTGGGACTAAGTCCCTTGTACTGCGGCCACTTCTCGCCTATTGTACCAGCCCAAGATGATAGGTGAGGGTGATTGTGGAGCAACTGGTGGAATGAAGATTGGCAGGGGAACTGAAGTACTTGGAGAAAACCTGCCCCAGCGCCATTTTCTCCACCACAAATCCCTCTTGACCAGACCTGGGCTGCTGTGGTGGGAAGCCAACGACTAACCGCTTGAGCTATGGCGAGGCCCTTAGGGTGAGGTTAAGAATGCATGGAGCTATCCCTCCACTCTCCCATGTCTTCAAGGCATGGTGCTCAATATCTTATCTTTACTTGATGGAAATGCAGTATTTATTTTTCTTTCAGACGGTTGTCATGTAGATATGAAAATAAGAACAAATATTTCTTTTACAATCAGGTGCACACAATCTCCCCTCCCACATAGCTTACCTGTTATCTGGGGGTTCATATTTCTGTAATTTGAAATTCTTGTCAACAGCAATCTCATGAGCAAGCGCCATGTTCTTAAAACCATTGGCTGCTGTTACAATTTCCTCCAAAGATACAAACTTTGGTGGTGATGCAGCTATGCCCGGGATGGCAAACCCTTGTGCAGTTTTCTGTCTGCATGAGATAAAGCAAAACATAGTTCTCAATTTTCTTGCCAGACATCCACTGTATTCCAATTTCTGTTCTATGTAGTTCTCTAGCAATAAAGGTAAATACAGGCATTACAGAGTCACATATCTACCACAATGTGCTGTGCAAAAAACATCAAACAGTAACACAATCTACATGTTTTGTCAGATGCAGTTCTTCATACAGGTATCATTTCATGAAGATCAATATCAGGCAACTGAACTGTTCTAGGACATTCTATCTAATAATAATACCACACAAATAATAAGTAATATTTTCAGGAAATGTTACTACTCCCCTCAGTTTTTTTTTTAATTTGCTTAGTGGGTGGTGGAGTCCACCTGGGTCCATTTGGCATGGTGGTCACTGATTGGCCTATTGTAGCCTGCCCCGGGTGATTATGATGATGGAGAATTTGGTGGAATGAAGCGTGGCAGGGGAAACCAAAGTACTTGGAGAAAACCCGCCCCAACGCCACTTTGTCCACCACAAATCCCACTTGACCAGACCCGGGCTTGAACCTGGGCCGCCGCAGTGGGAAGCCAGTCACTAACCGCTTGAGCTATGGCATGGATAACTCCCCTCAGTTAATATGACACCTGAACACTAAAACTCGTCACTGGACAAAATTTGGTTCAAAAGATGGAAATCACCAGAAGGACTGTGATCTTCAGTAGACAGTTCATCTTTGTCATCTGTGCATCACAAGCATGCTGCTTCAGCAGGCCTCAGGAGGTCCCTGCAGGCCTAACATCACACTGCTCAGAATATAAACCCCATTATTACTAAGTTTATATCTGGTCACCATGCTGCAATAGTATGACATTTAAATCTGGATGATAAATTTAAGAAGTCATTAGAAATATTTTAAATCTCACATGCATCTGAAGAAGTCAGAATTGCTCAGTTGGTATAGCCACAACCTGGATAGCAGGGGTTCGATCCCCAGAAGAAGCAAGAGATTTCTCTCTTCTCCACAGAGTCCAGACTGGCTCTTGGGCACACCCAGCCTCCTATCCAATGGATACCAGGGTCTTTTCCCCTTGGTAGAGCGGCTGGGGTGTGAAGCTGACCGTCCACCTTCAATTAGTGCTGAGGTCAAGATTACATGGATTTATACATCCACATCCCCATACCTCTTCATGGTGTGATGCTTAATTAAGCACAGGGATGACTTTATCTTTACCTTTACAGGCATCTGTAAATCTTTCTGAGAGGGGGCATACAGTTGGAAAACCATGGAATATGAAGTTTTTACTGTGGACACTCAAAATTGTAGTTGGCAAGTAGCTATTGTATTTGATCTTCTCCTCTGTATGCCTCATCTGACTTTCTGCTGTTCATGTTTCTCATACTGTCCAGTTGATTTAACCATCTATAAGCAATTTAATCAAAAATGAAATTAATGTTCCCTGTTATGCATAACATATTAAAATTCAGTCTGTGGAAGGATATTTAATTTAATTAAACTGAGAGCATCAGGATTCAGTTAAATTAAGTGCTAAAGAGGCTCTTACTTATTTATACTTCAATGCTAATATCAAAAGAGACTAGCTTAGCCATTACCGACAAACACAGCTAACTTCACCTCTTTCCCTGATCACTGCTGGCTGCACCCTCACTATCATAACGCTGTCTTGAGCTGCCTCCACCTGCTGTGTCACCCCTCACATCCATGGCATCTTCTGAACCCTTGTCTGATCTATCTTTCGATGAGTCTGCCTCCCCTTTCCCTTTTCTGTCCATGTCTGATGTTTCGGCACTGAAACAAAATTTTAGTATGAAATTAATCGTATCAGATGAGCATGAACAGAAGGCTGGATATCAGACTACAGAACTGATAGGTAGATCAGATATATCAAGGACCCAGGAAAACTACATTACTCATCTGAAATCAGTTATGTTGCAATCTTCTATGATGTCATGCAATGTAATCTGATGTAAGTTGAGAAGACAGAGGCAGCAAGTTCCTCTGAAATGTTGGTATTCCATCTACCAAATTACACAGTACTATATTCAAGAGCATGACAATTCTATGTTCTCAGAATGGGGTTACTGTGAAGTACAGGTAACAAAAGTTTTGATCGGTACGCACGTGTAGAATGGATTGTCAACCTCACAACAGAGATTCCTAAATTCAGAGTCCATGAACAATCTTTATATAAATTTTATCTTAAAAGTCATGGAGGTGTAACTGTTGATTAATTTCGCTCTCATTCCATTAAAATTTCTTAAAATATTCTGTTTAATATTCGGGTGAGCATCAAAGAAAGTCCATGTAGAAAGTGAGGGAAAAAAAGGGTGGGAAATCCAGCCCTATGACAATACCCCACACAAGGACTACATGAGTTTGTGGTCCGGAAACATTCAGTAATTCTTGATACACTAATTAAATCAACACTGAGCTGTTTTGTTTTTGGTAAATGCTGCATAAACCTGTGACAACTCTAAAAGTGCAAAATAGTGTCACATACTTCACATGAAACATCTGTTGCAATTATTTCATAACATTAAGCATCCATCAAACTTTATGTCTTTCTAATCAAATGCAGAATGTGGTTCTGCACAAAAATAACTGCATGTAATATAAGCTATCTCATAGTAAATGTGTGCTGAATTGCAAAATATCTGTATTTACAAACAAAAAGACTTCTAGAAAGAAACATGATCATGAGTTACTATAATAACACTAAGCCAGTCATAAAAATGTTGTGACATTTGGTATGTGGAACATAAGGAGACTATATGGGGCAGGTTCACTCATAACAGTTGCAAGAGATATATCAAATTATGTCAGATTTAGTGGGAGTACAGAAGGTCAGATGGGACAGGGGTGGCACCAAACTAGCAGGCGAATATAGATCTTTCTGTGGTAAGGGGAATGAGAATCATGAATTAGGCACAGTTGGGCTTTTTCTTTGGTGTATGTAAGAGAATCACATCAGCGATTATAACAGGGTAGGGTTTGTTTGTGATAGGATGTTGTACATAATACTGAGAGGTCGCTGATGTATCGTAGTTCTGAATGTTCATGACCTAACAAAGGATAAAATTGATGATATGAAGGACAGCTTCTATGAGGAACTAGAACGTGTTTTTGATAAAATCTCTAAATACCATATGAAAATTTTGTTAAGAGATTTCAATGCCAAGTAGGTAGGGAACACATTTTCAAACCAAAAACTGGCAAAGAGAGTTTACATGAAATTAGTTTTGATAATGGAGTTAGAGTAGTAAACTTTGCCATGTCTAAAAATCTGACTGTCAAAAGTATAATGTTCCCACATTGTAACATTTTTAACATAGATAGGAGATGGCATTCAAGTATACTTGGTGTCCAATTGTTTAGGGGAGCAAATTGTGTTACTAACCGCTATCTGGTCTTGGCAAATGTTGGGTAGAGTTTGAAAGTGAGTAAACAAACAATGCACAGATTTCACATGGAGAGGTACAGTCTCAGGAAATTAAATGATGTACAAGGTAAGGAGCAGTATTGTGTTGAAATCTCAAACAGGTTCACAGCTTCAGAAAACTAGACGCTGAGTTGGATATTAATAGAGCTTGGGAAACTATCAGACAGAACATAAAAATTTCAGCCAAAGAGATAGGTTTTCTGTGAAAGGAAGAAGCATAAGCTATGGTTCGACAAAAGATATTCAAAATTATTAGATCAAAGGAAACAAGCAAATTGAGTGGTTACAGGACCCAAACAAAATAAATAGGGATAATCTGAACAATATAAGACGTGAAGGCAGCAGGCATTTCAGGAATAAAAAGGGGAAATATCTGAAACACAAAATTAATGAGCTTGCAATGAGCTGTAAGAACAAGAACATTAGATACCTGTATAGAGGAATAAATAAATTTAAGAGGGGTTACTAACTTAGAAGTAACTTAGTGACAAATGAGAATGGTGATCTACTTGCTGATTAGCACAACATTTTGAATAGGTGGAAGGATTATGTCTCAGTTATTGAATGTACATACATAGAGTTGGTGATGTTAGGCAGATAGAAATACATACAACTGAGCTGTTAGTACCTCATCCTAGTTCTTTTGAGGCTGAAATTGCCATTGCAAAGTTGAAAAGGTACAAATAGCCAGGTAGAGATCAAATTCTGGCAGAACTTATTCATGCAGGAGGTGAAACAGTATGATCTGAAATCCATTAACTCATTAATTCTACTTGGAATAAGGAAGAACTGCCTGATCAGTGGAAGGAGTTTATTATTGTACCAGTTCACAAGAACGGTGATAAAACTGACTGTAGCAATTATCATGGAATATCACTGCTATCAACTTCATGCAACATTTTATCCAATATTCTTCTCTCAAGGTTAAGTCCATATACATAAACGAAATTAATGGGGATCATCAGTGTGTATTTTGACATAACATATAAACTACTGATCAAATCTTTTGCATTTGTCAGGTACTGGAGAAAAAAACTGGAGTAAACTGAGAGAGTACATCAGCTATTCATAGACTTCAAGGAAGCCTATAACTCAGTATTCAGTATTGCACAATATTCTCACAGAGTTTGGGGTACCCATGAAACTATTTAGGCTGATTAAAATGTGTTTAAATGAAATGTAGTGAAGTCTGTATAGGTAAACAGGTGTCTGATAAATTTCCTATTCAGAATGGTCTAAAACAAGGAGATGCTTTATTGCCACTGCTTTTAAACTTGCTTTAGTATATGCCATTAGGAAAGTCCAGGAAAACCAGGTGGGGCTGAAATTAAATGGGACACATCAGCTGCTGGGCTATGTTGATGATGTGAAGCTACTGGGAGATAACATAGATACCATACACAGAAACACAGAAACTTTTAACCGATGCTAGTAAGGAGGCTGATCTAGAAGTAAATGCAGAGAAAACTAAGTATATGTTGCTCTCTCATCACTATAATGCAGGGCAAAATCATGACATAAAGATAGATAACAGATCCTTTGAAAATGTGGCACAGTTCAAATGTTTGGGCATGACAGTAACAAATCAAAATTTTATTCAGGAGGAAATTAAGAGGACAATTAATATGGGTAATGCTTGCCACCATTATACCTGAATCTTCTGCTTTCTAGTCATCTAAAAATGTAAAAATTAGAATAGACAAAACTATAATTTTGCCTGTGGTTCTGTATGGGTGTGAAACTTGGTCCCTGACATTAAGGGAGGAACAAAGACTGAGGGTGTTTGAGAACAGGGTGCTGAGAAGAATATTTGGACTGAAGAGAGATAAGTGACAGGTGGTTGGTGGAAACTGCATAATGAGGAGCTTCATAACTTGTACTCTTCGCCAAGTATAATCAGAATGATCAAGTCAAGGAGGATGACATGGGCAGGTCATGTACCATGAATGAGGTGGAGAGACAAGGGATGCATATAGGATTTTGGTGTGAAAGTCAGAAGGAAAGAGACCACTAGGTAGACCAAGATGTAGGTGAGTGGATAATATAAAATGGATCTTAGAGAGATAGAATGGGGTGGTATGAACTGGATTGATCCGGCTCAGGATAGGAACCAGTGGAGGGCTTTTGTGAACACGGTAATGAAAATTTGGGTTCAAAAAATGTTGGGAAATTCTTGAGTAGCTGCACAACTGGCAGTTTCTCAAGAAAGGCTCATCTCCATATAGTTAGTTACTTAGTTAATTGCAAATAAACCTCAGATTCAGTGACAGGTAGGTCTATTTGACATCTCTGTGCTGCTGAGTTGTTCTGTTTCTATTCCATACACACCAACCTAATATTAAATTAGCATTTACGAGCAGTATATATACCTTATAAAAATAAAATCATATGCATTAAATGAGATTTTCTAATACAACATACCAGCCTGGCATTGCTCGTAGTTCAATAGCTGCTTACTACCCAAGTAACACTGTTGAACTATGTGAATAATATAGCACTGGCAGACAATGCCCTTTGTAATTCTTCCTGATACTACTGGCAACAAAATGTTAAAGAGATTGCATCTAAACTACTGAAGTTAGAAGTAGATTGCCATGGAAATAAGGTCAACCTGGAGGTTTCTAAAATAAAATTCAACAAGTATGAGGAACTACAAACATATACTTCTTGGCCAATTGCCAATTGAGGGCAAGGTTATTGCTTCTCGGTAAAACAATAAAGGTACTGCAATAAGTTGCTCTACCAAAATTAATATAATATGGGAAGAAATTTTGATATGGATAACTGTAAGAATAAAATACTGAAAAATATATCCGATATTATTATTCCAATTCTAAATTGCTAAATGCGTACAAAGATATATATTTTCCAGCTGCGGTTATTTCTCTCATTCTGGTATTAGATACACACAAAGTTTAACACTTACCACAGCGAACCTGCTGTAATGATATTTCGCAGGAATTTTCTCTTGTCAATCAACACCTAATTCGCATTCGGTGATCAGCTGTGAAGAGGAAATATTTGTTTATATGACAGACGCCATGCCGTCAAAAAAAAATTTCAGCTAGCAGTAGGCGTGTGGAAGAAATAAATAACACCACCGTCATCACACAAGCTCGCCAATCGGCTTTACTTTGCAATATGTGAGGTTATAATGGCGGTGAACATGAATGTAATGCGCGCGTGTGCATATGTGTGATGCTGATGAACTATCATGATTTCGGAAAAATTTGTTTTCATGTATTCGTACCATGGTAGGGTTTAAACAGTTCGTATCAGCTGTAGGTCTACAGAAAATGTGGAATGGAGATGGATCAGTTGTAGACCGTTTCAAAGTGTTGCGGTATTAGCAAGCAAGCACTGAGGAACACCAAGGAAGTCCAGGCCAGTACACTTGTTGAAGATTGAAACGTAACGTGTCTCGATCGAAGATCAAAAAAGAGTTCTGTCTTCTGGGGTATAACGCCCTGTAGCAAATGAAACTGTGGCTTACTGCCTGCTTCATGCTTGTTTCTTGCTTGGCTTACTCTTCAACCTCGAAGATGGAGGGGAATTGTTCCTTCGAAACGTCGATTGACTTTAAAGGGACTGCACAGAGTTACATCCAATAAAATAAAACTCCTCATAACCACTCCTGTGAGAACCTCTTTCCCTACAAAAATATAATATATACGGCTTTTCAAACTACACAAGCTTATGAGAATTAAGGAATTTATTTAAATATTAAGAATATAAAATTATAAAACTGAAACTGTACTTTGTAATAGTGATTTTACAATGTCTGGAATCTGGAATTCTGCATGTTTGCCCAAATACTGATTCATGTTGTCCAATAAGCGTCTCGCATTAGTAAGAGTGTTTTTCTCTGTATATTGATCATGCATCCTTCTTATTTGTTTGCCTGACTGTTTTCTTATGCCATCTGCCGCCTGCACCATGAGCTGTTTGCCGCGCAGGGCGTTTGGTCCCGTTGGTTCTACCAGGACGAGCGTGGAACGATCACTTTTGTGGGCGGGACATCTGAACTGATGTGAACAGTTTGTTTTGAAGAAAATCGCTCTCTGTACTCTACTGTAGCCGGAATTATTAACATATTTTATAGATACGCTGTTTTTGTGTTTGTGAAGAAACTCTACGGTGACTTGACAAACTTAAGGCGTTCGAATGTATTTTTCGTCTCTCTGGAAATCAAAGCTCGTTCTATGTAGAACAGCTTGTAGTTCAGAAATAACACCTATACATCCGATGGCCTGTGGATCTTAATCGCGTATTGTAAAAATTCATATCCAGCCTTTTATATTTCAGCTTTCTAAGTTCTCATTGTTTCTTTAAACGATTAGGAAGTTGTAAGATTTGAGGTTTTCACAGCGGTGGCTATGAAGAAAGCAGTCTTCTGGGATGTGGCACCGTGTAGATGTGGTGTTAACCGACGTTTCGGAGGAACGTCAGGGTAGAAGGAAAAATACGTAGGTCGTACCGAAAGTCATGAGCAACCTTTTTTTTGCATGCAACCTGGGAACAGCAGACCAAAGAGAGTACGGTGATAGGTGGAACCAGCTGTTGTGTTAACCTTGAATGTCTTGTGACGTCAATAGCTTGCATCACGTGACCAGTATCACTCCTAACAAAATGGCCGACAAAGATATGTCGTTTCGCCAGCGTGCTGTCATCGAATTTCTTGTGAAAGAGGAAATCCCTGCTGCAGAAATTCACCAAAGACTTCAGCGTGCTTATGGAAGTGTGTGCATGGGTTCGAGCAGTGTTCGAAAATGGGTGAAACATTTTAAAGATGGGA